GGGGGGGGGCCCTACAACGAGCTTTCTGGAAATGTTGCAACTTTCAAACTTGGAATGAGCTAAACTTGCATGTGGCAAGGGGAATATGATTTTGAGGACTTGTGTACAGGTACACTTCTAAAAGTAGATATTAGCAGGGCGCCTGCAGAATTGTAGTTAGAGGGGATACAATCTCTTTGCAAATACTACCCTGTTGTTGGTGATGCTGACTAAATTTTTACTGGAAATGTCAATTTAGTTTATAGTATTTACTATTCTTAATAACTTCAATTTTGTACATTATTTATCTTGTTAGAACTTCAAGTAAATGAGGATATGCACCTGTGCATTCACTGGTATAAATGGCTGCAATTTTTAGCGTTGGTTGAAGTCACTTACTGGTATAATGCTTTAAAGTTGAAGTCACCTGTGCATTCACTGGTATAATGCTTTAAAGTTGGGACTTCAAATGTTTAATGATATTGATTATGGGTTAAAAGTATTGTTGGACTCCTATACCTGATAACTTGTGAAGATTGATATAACCCTTGTTCGACGTGGATTAAAATTAGATTTTTAAGTAGATTTTAACAAAAGTTGATGATATTTGTGGTTGAAAAGTTATGAGTCTTATAAAATATGTGGTTAAAATTAATTATTGACTTTGATTTAAATTTTGGTCAACATCAAACTATTTCTCCAATTACTCTTTAGTGTGTTTAATTGTCAATATTTTCATGGAAAATGTGTTTTTTCACTTAATTCCTACTTTTGTGTTGTTTTATTGACAATTTTTTCCACTAAAAATGTTTTCCTACTTTTGGTCACGTGGCTATATTTTCCTTAGAAACAAGGAAATTATTTTTTTAATGGGGAGGTGGTTTTTATTTTCTATATAATTCACCGTCTCTCATTTATTCATTCTCTCATCCATCTATCAATAAAAAAATGGACAAGTAAAATATTTTTAGGTTGAAAATTTAATCAGTCAAACATATTTAATTAATAATTTTTAGGGATAATTGTAGCATAAGTTCCAAACATTTGAAACATTAGCAGACTTTTTTCAAACTTTTGAATTGTTGCAGCATTTACCCCTAATCTTTTCAAACGTTGTAGGTGATGTTTTTTTGGATGGTTTTTGTCAAAGATGACGTTAGTTGACCCAAAAAATTAAAGTTTGACCATTTTTGACCAATTAAATCAGGGTAAAATGGTAATTTTATAATATTACTATTTAAAATATAATTAAAAATAAAAAAAGGATAAGGAAAAAACTGTTACTATTAACTGGACAGGTGGATTGTATTTGATATTTTTCTCTATATGTAGTCATCTTTGTTGACTAATTGGTATATATGTTCCTCAGTTGTTAAGTTGCAGTTGATATTTTATAAATATCTTCTCCATATATCTTTTGTATTGGAGAAGCAAACCAACAAGAGAGGAATTAAAGTCTTTATTTCACTCTGAGACTACGGTGCAGTAAAAGTAGTAG